GAATAAGGTGGCAAGCACGTTTCTTAGTTCTTTTTTTTAAGGTCAGAGCCAGCAGTCCCTACCTGACACAACTTGATGGCCAGTGAGTGGCTGCCTGTACATAGCATTTCCAGCTTGAGTTGTTCAAAATGTCAGTTTTTGTGAGTATCCTAAGTCAAGCCTCAGCTTCTGCTTGGTAAGATTTAGCCTCAGTTCTTTCAGAGCAGAGCGACAGTGCTGTAGGAGCATCCCAAATGTGGCAAAGCGAGGACAAAAACGTTAGCGTTTTCCAACCTTCATTCCAGTTGGGTGCAAAAAAAAGAGTTTCAGGGAATGCAGACAGACTTAATTTCCTTTTACTGATCTGTTTTGATTTTTAAACTATTCTTACCCATCTGGCCCAAGGCAGAGAACAGTGACAACAACTGCATTTGTTACGGTTCCAGCCAATAATAAAAGATAAAAGGTTTGTTTCAGAGTTAACCCACGAGGACCATCTGCTGCCAACTGCAAAGCTGGATGAACACTTTCCATAAACACCCTTCAAAAGTTTGGGAAATGCATCTTGAAATGCATTTAGAAAGTGAAGAGAGCTGCTTTTGTGTTGGGCTGAGGACAGAAGACAGCCAAGGACCCTGCACAGTTTTCATGTGTGTCAGAAGATAAATGTCCTGTCAGAGTGCTGGCATCTGAGCCACTGAATATATTTTAGGGTAAAATCAGTCCCCTGGGTTACAGCCAGAATTATTTGGAAGCCCTTGCTTGTTTAGTACAGGAGTAATCCCATGGGATGAATCGAAAGGATGAATCGAAGCGTTGCTAATGGGGGATGTTGCTTCTACCTAAAAGTTGAGAGCAGATCACCAGGGATGGAAACCTAACCTTTCACGCCTCCTTCCACCACCTTCAGTTTGGGCACATCTTTGCTTCTGTATCGGGACGGAGATCCAACGTGGACATTTTGACACAGCTATTTTCCCTTATTTTGGCAGCCTCTGTTAAGCATGTTGAGCTCTCTGTGAAAACGTGTCGCTTTCAGAGCCAACCGAAATAGCTGCTCTGCCGTTCCTGCAGACAGCAAGCAATTCCCCATGGTGCCCTCACCAGCTACAGGGACTGCCGTCACCTACAAAATATTCCGTAGCTGAATAGCGTGGAATGTAGCCAGCAAAGTCACCTCTCCTTGCCAGCCTGAGTAGCTCCTCCACCAGTGCAGCTACTTCTTTTTGTGCTCAAAGGGGAGTCTAACGAGGCTTGGGGCAGGGAGACTGGAGAAGGTCAGAGGTTGCTCCTCATCCTGTTACCCCTGGTGGCAGTCACATATCTTTTGTGGTAAAGCATTGTGATGTTTGTGGATTGATTAAAAAAAGAGATCAGGTTTATTGGCATTTGCTGTTAAAACTCAATTTCCTTAAGTTATGGATCTGGTTCACCTTGTTGTGTGCTACCAGCACCTTTGTAAGGTGGCCTGGAGGCATCTCTTCATGTGGACCTTGGACTGTACTTCTGCAAAGCGGGCATATAAATAGACATAAATAGTTTGGTAGAAATACTAAGAAGAGTCATGCATTTTAAACTTTGTCGAGAGACATCAACATTAGATACCAGAATACCTTTTTTCTACCTGCAACAGTTGTTACTATATAGAGTAGATGATATGGATGTTTTAAAAACTTCATTGTTGATGGGTTTTAAGAAGCAGCTGGAGAAGAACTTGTCAGAGGAAGTCTGGGTTTGCTTGATCCTGCTTTGTTAGGTACAGATCCTGCATTGCTAGGGACAGAGCAAGTTATTTCTTGATGAGATTAAGCTGCATTTGCTGGGATTTCATTTGCTGGGATTAATGAATGCATCCGAACTCAAATGCTGAATGTTCTCTTGTGTGTATTTTCAGACTTTTTGACAAATTTCACAAAATTGTGGAAAAAGGAATATAATTTTTTTTAAATGTTGCTGTGCTGTAACATCTTCAAAGATTTCCTTTGAGTCTTCTCCTCCTGTTTGTCTTCCTAGCGTATGTTTTCTCAGTTGCAGCAATCTGCTGTACAGCTGTTTTCCTCTAAGCTCTCCCTTTAGAGCTGACGCTTCGTTTTCCTTTGAGTGCAAGTACCCACATGGAAATAATCTCCAAAACATTGATCTTTGTATGCAAATCTTTAAATAACACAGGCAGATTTTGGGGGAAAGCAAGAATCTATTTTATGAACCTGTTTAATGTTGTCATGGAGAGAGTGGGGGTCTATTTTTATTGACGTGGAGAATCAAGCCAAGCATTCAATACTGTCTTATACACTTGAGCATATTTTCAGATCTTGTTCTTCTGCCAGTGTTATCATCAGCTCTGTTGGCGTGAATTTGTGACATCTTTTAACAGGTCAATAAATGTTTTCTCTCCACTAAGCACTTGTTTAGTACAGGTTTCTTTGGTACTGAAGTGATGGGCAGTCCTGTAAGACCTCTTCTTATGAGACCCAAATATAATTTGGCTGTGTTGTCCCTTCTACCTGTTTAGAAGGATACTGGCCCATCATAAACCACCATAAATCTGTGATATTAATTCTGTAATTCTGTGATGTGATGTAGTTAAGGTTTGTTTTGCCAAGAAGTTGATTTTCCGGTTATCTGCTCTATTGCTGTGTTAAAGTTGTAAGCATTTGTCTTGGGAAACTTTCCTTGTTTACTTAGTATCCTAAGTTTTCAATAGTAAGATTTAGAATTTGTTCAGAGCTCATATACTGTTTCCCTGTTTCTCATGCATTTGGTCTATAATAGATGTCTTCCACTACCCTCCCTTGGATTGCACAGACATAATTATCTGTAAAAAATATGCTGTGATGCATTCTCCCCCAGTTTGGAAGTGCAATGGTGCAACCACAGAAAAATAGGCCCAGATGTCTGGGAGTATTATCTTCTATCAGTTTATTCCTCATTTGAGAATGCTAGAGTTGGTATAATGAACTTTCATTTTATAATTAGGCCCAGACATCATATAATTCCTTTTTAGTTGCTTCTGTTTGCTCTTGTTACATTGTGGACCCATGTGTTTCCAGTAAAAATGAGTGCTTCCTAAGGAAAAAACAAAAGACATTACTGAGAGCATGAATGATCATATTTTTCTGCACTTAGTTGGCCAGTTCTGTCTTGTAATCAATTAACACATTCAGCTGAAGTTTGGTTTGGTTTTTTTGAGTTGGTTTTTTTTTTTTTTAAACACAAATTATGAAGGCTTCCAAACTTTCTAATTCCACTGCAGCATAGCATATGTTTAAGCTAATAACAACAAATTCTGCTTTAATTGTGCTCACAAATTAAGTTCACCAGGCACTTCATGCTTGGCCCCAGACAAAATACTGGGTTTTGCTATTGAGCCCTCTGCAAGGTCTTTGGACCTCCCTTTGCTTTTATGGGTGGATTTTCTCTGGGTGCAGAAGCAGCCACCAAATTGTGCATCCAGAAAGTGTTTAGAGCTCATGAAACATAGGTGGGAGATTACCCTAAAGGCACCTGCCAGGACTTGCTCTCCAGAGTTCAGGATTGCAAAAAACATATGGGTTTGGTTTGGGTTTTTAGCTCCCCAAAACATGGAGAATAACTTTTATGCAGTTATGTGATTCGAAGTGAAAAGTGAAACCCTGTGTGAAAGGAAAAAACATAATTTGTTTTGGGTTATATTTACCTCTCAGCAGGGAACTCCTCCCAACAGCCCCCTCCCTCCTCGCTTTGCACCTGATCATCAGTGTTCCTGAAATCAGAGCAATGCATTGGGGATCTCAATGTAATATTAGGAGCATAGGACTATGTTTACACCATGTAATGGACCATGATAAAGCAACTCTTGAGCAAACTGTTCTTGGAAATAGCCTTGGTAGAGCTGTTATCAGCTCAGTCCTAGACTTGGGCTAACATTTCATGTAGACACATTGCTAATTAGTCTACCAATGACAAGCATTTTTAATTAAAGCAGGTAGAACTCTGCTTTCCTGCTTCTGGAACGTACATTGTGTATATGTGTTTCACTTATCATCACGGGGGAATATTGGTGAACATCAAGTTTTTATGAAAAATAGAGAATGAGAGACCAAGGTATTGCAGAATCACAGACTGTTTGAGGTTGAGAGGGACCTCTGGAGGTCATCTGGTCCAACCCCACCTAGAGCTGGTTGCCCAGGACCATGTCTAGATGGCTTTTGAATATCTCTGAGGAGGGAGACTCCTTGCTGGGCAGCCTGTAAGGTAGTGGAAATACAGCTTCAAGGTCAGGGTTACTTGCAGGAGATTTGGAGACCCAACTTCATATCACTCATCCTGCCTCAGACTGAATTGAATCTCAGTCCTGTGGACCCTGAGCCAGTGGGCTCTTTATTGCTGCATCGACCTCTCACCTTGACAGGCAGGTCCAGCCTGGCCTGGGAGACCGTTGCTGAGGGAAACACTACCAAACAAGAGGAAAAGTTGCCTTTTTGGCAAAAGAAAACAAACAAACTTGAATGTAAAGTTCCCAATGAAATCTTCAATAATTCTAACAGTCCTTCAATGCTGTTTTGTTGCTGACCCTGTATTCTTCGTGGCTTGGTGCTCTGCATTTGTTCTGTCTGTGTGTGGTTTCAGTCAGTCTTTTATCTGTTGCTGGTTAGAGCTGATCTTTTCTTCCTTTTTTTTATTATTTATTTCTGGTGGGATGAAAGCAAACAAGGAAAAAATTTGCACAGTCGTACATGTGACTGAGCAAGTTTGCAGCGCAGATTAATTCCAGTAAATCCTTAATTGATTCTTAGTTGATTACTAGCTTTATGAGTGGTTCTCCAGATGTTTACTGCAAGTGGTCTCCCATAATCACAAAATACATCTTGGCTGCTAGAAGAAGATGAGATTTCCATTATATATGCCACTTTTCTGGGGAACTCTTGTTCAGCCCCAGGCGATGAGGGCAAAATATGTCTGGAAGATAGATGAGAGAAATGCAGCTAGATTTATGACTTGTATAGAGGGATCCATTAATTGAGGTTTCTCTTGTATTGCAGTGTTCCCACATTCCAGAGCCTTCCTGAGGAGATACTTAGTAAACTTGCAGATGTCCTTGAAGAGGTAAGTGCTTTTAATTTTGAGAGCTAATGAGTTCAGAGTCTGCGAGCCTTCTGGTGGCAATATCCAGGCTCTTTTTTCCAACAGAACAGCTTCACAATTTTGCTCCCAGTTACAGTTGACTGTTCCAGCATGTCGAGACAAGAAGAGGAGCTGTGTGAAAAATGAATCCAGTTTTGAACAGGGCTTACGTATTTTTAATTGGATTTCTATCCAATTGGGGAGCAAAACAACCGTTTCCTGTGGTGCGCAGAAGGGAAACCTTCTTCTCCAGGCCCTGGTTCAGTGGTGGAGAAGGGGGGGATGTGAAAATACCATCTCCTTTCAAATTTGATGGGACACTCGTGTTAGAGGGCAATATCATGCCTTAAAGGAGGTGTCATGGAAAAGCTGCTCCCATAAGAGTTAGAGCAGAGAGGGGCAATGTAATAATACATGTTGAGATACTTGATGGTCCGGGTGGAGTTGTGCTTTGCCTGCCTGGCTATAACTAGTATCTCATTAGTGTTAGGCTTTTAATGAGTCTTTATTTAAAAAAAAAAACAAACCAAACCAACACACCAAAAAACCCCAAACAAACCCCCCCACACACACACACCCTACCCCCCCAAAAAAAAAACCCAACCCCCCAAAACAAACCAAAACCCCCAACTTTGCCCTGTAAGTGAACATGTAAAATGGATGTAAAATATTTGAGTTGCATTGCAGGCAGTATGTCCACATGGTTTATTCACATAACGCTCTGTTCTGGGCCTGCAGAATTGCATGTGATTAAATATTACAGAAACTGTTAATAAAACCTTTCAAAATGTAGCCCTATGTGATTTAACTGTGGGAAATCTCTGTGTACAACAGTATTTTATTTCATTCCTTGTTGGTTTTTCTCATACATGCCTTGCCATCATGAACGACCCTAATAACTATGTTTATAGAAAAATGTTCATGTGTACCACCTCTGCCACTGATTTTAAGAAACGGTGCTGCTGACATTCAAGTTAATTTTTTTTTTCAGAGCATTGATAGGACATTGTAACATCTTTGCTTTGTTATTTAGTATACAAATAAATTTTATAATCCGAACAAATCAGCTGTTTGTCATACAGAATAATTGCATATTCATAGATAAGCTTTATTTCCTTTACTGCCAGAGAAGTGTTCAGATTTAGAGAGAAAAGGCATTATTAACTCGATATGCTATGAATTAAATTTGCCTGTCTCAAAACCGCATGCCTAACCAGAAACAGAAAGTTTAATTTGCTTGGATCGCATAACCAGCATTAAACTCCTTATCAAGAGTTAAAGAAAAGAATAAAGTCAGTAAAACTTTCCAGGGATACTTAAAGTTTCATGGCAGGAGAAAAAAAAAATGAAAAGCATTAATGAAGAAAAGAGGCATGAAAGCAGCATCTGTGGGGATAACTCTGTACCATTAGGGTGGATGCTATGGCAAGAGAGGCTGGTCATCCCAGTCTGTACTGGGATATGCCTCCCAATTTCCTACTTGGAATCACCCGTGTTATTCCCTCTGGTTTTGTCTTTGATTTAACATATCATATTTTACATAAACTAAAAAAAATAACCACTCTACTATGATACTATACGTTTTGGATTTAACAGTATCCAATGTATTGAAACTAAGCATGAATAACGTTATCCTCTCTGTTGCTGTAACAAGGATTGGATAAAAGTGACTGATTTGGCACAGTTTGAGGCGGGGAGGGAACTCTTAATGTCAAGATTTCATGCAGTTTTTCTTTTGATACAGTGCTGTGAATAATGCAACACTTCTGTCCTACATTCTTTAGTTAAAAGTTTCTAGAAATTATTTAAAATCCAGAAGCAAGAAAAAAAAGCTCGTTTAATGGCCCATTACCCAAATCAAACTTGGAAATGGCATTATAAAGACAGTGGGGAGGAAAAAAGGTCAGTGTTTGGTAACATAATTTCATTTCTAGAATTGATGGAAGTACTACAACAAGTTCCTTGGATAACTCGAGAATTAACAAAACCCAAAGGAATTTCCTTTTCTCTTGCAGTGGCTTCTGACCTATACGAGATCACTCCCATCAATGAAATTGCTCATAATTTATATATGTGAGAGTAGAAACAGGTCTATTGAGTTCAGTTTTAGCACATTCAAACCCAAGCTACTGTTATGCTGTGTTTTTGCCAAGAACTCTTCTCCCAGGAATTAGCTTTCTAGGGCCATGATTTACCATGTTTCCAGGCCCTTGTTCTGGGGATGGAGGTTTCTCCAGCTGTAGATCGCTGCAGTTGACACCAATCTCAAAGCAGCTTTAGGTTGCACCCCTAGCCCCAGTCCCAGGATTTGGGAATCACTACCCTGGCACAGCTTTTCCCAGCATCCAAACCTTCTTCCATTACGTTTTTAAATTATATTAATATTTATCAACATTGCATATTAACAAACCTCAATGTAATGTATAGCTGACTTTATTAACATATTTTAAACCATTGGGTAACAACTGTAGTGATTTTTCACCACAGTGGGAAGCCGAGCATCTCTTCCAGCACTGAGGTTGATTTAGTTTGGTTGTAATCCCATCTCTGCATTGTTTATCCTCATGCTTGCCAAACATAATGCATGAGACAACAAGTAATATGTTTCTGCAGCTCGAGACTTAATTCTTGTATTACTTGAGTTTTGGTAGCTTAGTGTTTTAAGGAGATGAGGCTTATGTCTGCCTGTAGGACAGTCCTCTCACATCATTTGCAATTGCCCAAAACCCATTTGATGCAAAGTTCCTGAGAGATTCATCCAAATTATGGGGTAGGACAAGAAGAAAGACTTAAATTAGGGGATGTTGAGTCAAAATAAATGCACAGGTCAGCTCAGCCTCCACTTCACATAAACTAAGCTATTCGCAGGGGGTTGCTGTTTGGGAGAGGCAGGGAACCAAGGGCTAGTGGTGCTCATGCTGTGCAAGGGATGAAGGACCCAAGTTCATCAGTTATTCTGTACAGAGAACAGTTTTTATCTTTTTTTTTGTAGGGTGGTGCATATCACCCCACGTTTGCTGTGTGTCTGGGATGCGAGAGGCAACACATAGCACTAGAGGCTAGAAATTTTAATAATGATATTTTTAATACTGTCCCCAATGTTTTCCTAATTTTTCTTCCTTAGTGACTGCTTTTTCATATTTTTCTTCAGTTGAAAAAGCCCTTCTTGACCTCCCTCTGACTCTTCAGGCATCATGCCCTGAGCTGCTCCTTCTTAAAAAGCCTGTTTCCCGATACCTCTGGCCACTGGTGTGCGTGCTCACAGCTGCATTGCTTAACAGCGTTAAAATGGTGGCAAAATAGTTTCACTGTACCATATTTTGGTTAAAAAAAAATCAACATGTTTATGTTTAAATATTGGAGGATTAATGTAGTTGGAAAAGGTAACAGCTGCCAGGATGCTGCTTAAACACAGCTGTGTGCCTTACCCCCACCCAAGTGCTGCGTATCTCGGATTAAATACCTGTACTGGTATTTATTGTGTCAATATCTTTGCTCTGGATGAACACAAATCTCCTTTGGAAAACAGTAAAAGTGCCTTCTTGCACATTATTTTTATTGATGAAACATCTGAATAATTTTAGTTTCCTTGGGTAAAAGAGGGGAATTTGTTTGCAAATTGAAAGACTCACTGTAGATGATTAATAGCTAAGCTTAAAAGTCCTTTTTGTAATAAACCTGAAAAACTTTGTGAAAATGCAAAAACCTGACCTTTCTTTCCTCACTTTTGAAGGCTTTGAAACAATTTATGATTGTCTTTTCTGATTATAGACTTTCTGATTTTCTTAGAGTTAAAAAAAAAAAAGTCTTTTTTTCCCCTCCATTAGGCACCTTTAATATGCACCAGTTATATATCACAAAAATAAATGGATTTTTGCTACTAAACTTCTTTTCTAAGAATATGTAGCCTTAGCATTATGGCACTTCATTATAATGTGGGCAGTTTATAACAGAAAAGAACAAAGTATTGATTTATTTTTATTTAGGAAACTACAGTGCATCAAAACACCCATAGAATAACTTAGAGCAACTGAGGTGCCATCCACGTGCTCCTGGCACCTGGGAATGGAGAAACTGGTGTCTGTAAGGACTCGGGGGTATTGTCAAAAGCCCCGTGGGTCATGGCACTGCTAATATTACCTGGACAACATGCATCTATTTTTTCACCCAGTGATTACCTGGAAGGTACTAACGTTGCCAGTATTTTTAGTCTTTAAAGATTAACTCCATTTGTTCAATGAAATTAAATCCTTAAGGGAGGAGGATGGCAAGTCTGTAAGAAGTGGATCAAATTGCCAGGAGCTACACCACAGGCGAGAGAATAAAAAAGGGAATTTACGGTCATAGAGGAGAAAAAACAAACAAAACCCCAAAGCACCCAACCTCTAGTATAGTTTCTCAAGATGTGAATCCTCATGGTAAATGTATAGGTGCTTTGTCTGCCTATACCACAGCAAGGTGCCCATAGGATATGCGTTTGCCCACTGTTAAGCACCTTTGCTTTGTCTTTGCAGTTAGGAGGGGGAAAAATCAGACGAGTGGCACTTGGCCAATGGAGCAAGGGTGGCATTTTCCCCTGCTGTGCTCACAGTCGAAGCTCATCGCCTTTTGGCTGTGTATATGAGAACAAGTAGGAACCGCTGGAGACGCACATGGGGTGGCAGTGGGTGGACCTCCTATCGGTGGCCTTCAGCTCTGACCATGCGTTTGGCAGAGCTTTCCAAGAGCTCAGCAGGAGGAATCAGTACTTCTGGCAGGAGGCAGAGCAGATGCTGAGAAAAGGGAAACCAGTGGGCAGGCAGAAGCACAGTTGAGCTTGAGAAGAAGTTCAAAATGTCTGGAGGAAGAGGAATGTTGGTCCGGGGTCTGTATTCCTGGCATGGCCAAGGAGGGAGATGAGCTAGTAGCGGGCATGGGCAGTGCTTGGAGACTCTGGGCTGGCATCTCCTTCTCTCTTTCTTTTTTCCTCCTCCCCCCCTCCC